ATGTACAATAAATGATTTTTTCAACAAATGATCGAAATTAATTTATTGGTGTAGCCAGGTAACCAGGTAATTTTGTTTACTTAATTGTTTTAATATGGGTCGAGAGAGACTATTAATAAATTGTTTATTAATTAATAAAGATATAAATACTCATAATTTTATATTATGTAAATATTTTTGATGTTTTTATAATGTTTAAATAAATAAGTTTTGTGATTATTGTTAATAAATTATACAATTTTGTTATGCAACATGCAAACTTGGATAATTTGAATATTAATTTAGGTGTTTTTAAAATTATTTTTTAACTGGTCATCATGTCAATGTTGTATAAAAGTCATGGGCACCTGTAGTTAAACTATTAAAAAATGTATTATTAGCTTAACAATAGTTCCCGTGAAGGTTTAACATGGTGGCGCCGATTAGTTAATAGATCAAGGCTATATTTAGTGCTTTTGAGGTTTGATAGGATCCTGATGATTTATCTATCACACTAATCCAACTAATTATAAACTTCAATTATATAGCACGTTGTATAACTTTAGTAAAGTTTATTAAAGTATATAGTGTATTAATCTACAACAAAAAGTACTATTGGTAAATTGCCAATGTAATTTATAACTTTTGTTGCATCATGAGTATAAAGTATAAAAAATCATTACAGAATCTGCCCGGGATCTATATTAATATAACCCATAGATATATCATAGAAAGTGCTAGAAATGAGAAACTATAAATATGCCTTAATATAAGGGGACAGGTAGGCTGTAATATAATCTGATTGTCGGATACCATACACACTTTTCTCGTGACTTTTATCTAGTTTTATTGATTAACTCTTTTTGAGTTAACGTTGTATTGTAGTATAACTCTGCACTCAATGTTTGATTTGAAGTGTTTGTAAATATCAATCAGTATATCTAGTCTTAATTGGTAATTATGACAATAGGATCTAGATGTTCTATAGACATACATATTGGAAAAAATTAAAAGTTATAAACGCAGTAGGTTAATTGAACATTTAAAAAAAGTAATTTGTCTGTAAAGTAAACTTAAAACATGCTGTAATAATTTTTAAAATAAGGTAGCAATACTATTTTATTTTGACAATTTTAAAGTTAATAATAATTAAAAATTTAATATCATATTTACTATTATTAATTAATTTGAGCTAATTGAAAATTATATTTATACATTGAATTAAACATAATAATGACTATATTTATAAATAAATATGATAAATATTTTGCTAAATTAAATTATATTATAAAATAAACATTAAAGAATTTTCAAAAAATTAAGTATAATAATTTATAATTATTATGAATTAGCATTCTTTTAAACAAAATATAATAAGCCATAATTTCCAAACTAATCAATGTCTAATCTAAAAATAATATTAATATTTTATTTTAATATTTTATTACAATTTCAACAATAAGCTAAGTTAATTATTTTAGCATTCATTATATTAATATAGTAATTAAGATTATTTTAATTTTAAAAACATCATTAATATTTTCAACCATAACTAATTAAAATAGATATAATCATTATTTTCTAAAATGTCCCGGATACAATTGATTCGAACTTTGATCTAATTATTAAATAGTTTATTGATAATACACTGATCACAACATATATAAAGGCTTTTCATTAATAGTTTGTGAATAAATATGTTTTTAAAACAAAAACGTGTTATTAAACAGATATATTATACAATAAATAAAATCACAATAATAATTAAAATGCAACATGTTAAAAACTTAAAATAATGAAAAACCTGTGCACTATTAAAAATAAAAATAACTATATTTATTAAACAATTAATAAACAATTATACATTAATTTAATAATTAATTAATTTTTTATTATTGATACAAATTATTACACAAATGTAACACAAAAATAATTAAACAATAAATTCATTGTTCATTACATTTCTATCGCAGTGTTGTATCAATCGGTTGACAGCAATGTCCGCATCACTCGAGTCACGCATTTGTTCGCAAATATTCGCAAATGTTTGCAGTTTTTGGATTCCGTATGTATTCTGGGATTACATTTAATAAATCAAATAATGTAATTAAACATAAAAAATAAATTATAATTAATTATTAAACATACCTCTGCTAAATTATAACACTTATGATAGAAAGTGTTAACCAATTGTTTATAACAGTCTCTGTGATTGAGCTCTAGTTTGCCATTCAATGCGATATTGGCGTCAATTGCCGGCAATTCATTCACGTATTCCTCGATCTGTTTATCCATTAGTTTCCGACGGCTTAACAAACCCTCTAATTCTGTGACATATCTATGAAATTAAGTTCAAAATGTATTTAAAAAACAAATATAAATACAAAATTAATAACTTTTAACATTACTTTTGTTTCAACTCAACATCATTTGAACTTATTATTAGCTCTCGTAGTCTATGTACCGGTGCCTCGGGTACCGGTACCGACTTACACGCTGTTTGCATTGGGAGTTCACTTGATACTTTTTTATTACCTTGTAGAAAATAATTAAAAATATATTAATAAGCTTAAAATTTATATCATAATCAAGTAGCAAGCATAAAAATAACGCTGTATTACCCATATAAGTGCCAACAGTTTCCTTTACAATAGACAGGTCGCCATATTGCATAGCCTCCTCATTACCCTGGTACTTGTAAATGAATTCAAATTGTTCCGATAAAAGTTCCTTGCTGAAATCGCTGTGGTCGCTATCATTAAGCCATGCCTTAGCAAAATCAGTGGCTATAAAAATTGAAAAAATATTGTAAATTACAAATATTATTAGGTTGAAAATATTTAATTTGCACCTAGCTCAGTTCCCCATTCAGAGTCGTAGCAACAGAAATAAGCTGGCTGATCAGGTCGAGAGGTGGTTACCGCGTATATATTAATATTATTAGGTAGTAGTTTGTCAAACATAGAGCCTATGATGTGTAGGTAATATAATGTTAATTAAAATATAATAAATTATCCTGTTCAGTAATATTTATTGTCAATTAAATGACACTGTTCACATACCTGAATAGCATGATTCGAGGTAAAAGGTCATTTCCTTGAACCTATTTTGCTTATGCATATCAATCAACACTTTGTTCAAGTCCTGGGCGTGTAGTACACCGTTTGGAAACATTACAGTCTCTATAGAAACATAACAATATGTATAATAAATTAAATAAAATTTTATATCTAGGTAATTAAATAAACACACATACGTTCACCACCGTGGTCCTGTAGAAAAACAAATATGCGATCGTTGGGTCCACTCTTGACAACTTTTTTGCCAGACTTTTCCAGTTTCTCATCGCCTCTAAGGGCAGCCAAAAAATTCTGTCCAAGATCAATTTGTGACTTAATATTTTATTTATAATGTTATGCATAGTTATATACCTCGGGAGTCACATCAGCTTTAGTATAAGTTTTGGGAACACCCTTATAAACATCGGGTCCACCAGGTAGATTAATTATGGTACCAGGGTATGGGTTATTAGGATTGTCAGCCAGGTCATCGTAATGAAATACAATGATATTCTCATCAGGTATACCGTGAGCGTGTATCATTTGATAAGCGTGATACACATTTGCCTAGATTATAATAAATTTCAAAAAATGATTATAGTTTAAACCAGTGTGTATCATGCTACTCACTTATGGAACTTAATGATTTAAACTGTAATTTATTATCTAGATAAAAATAATCATTTAACAAGTTTTATAATATATTTATATTGGGATGTTCACACCTCGTTGTTTTTAAATTATCAAATTTTTAAATTTATTTTGCTATGAATTATATAACTGTACTATAATTGTACAGTTTAAATAATTTATTATATAATTTTTAAATATACTATATTAATTATTATTATCTTAAAATGATTTAAAACGTATTTACCTGCATAGCATAATTACTCCAGGTCTTAGCGCCGGACGCCAATACTACCCATGTTTTACCCTCAGAGGGTTCACCTAATTTTTGGGCAAATGGGACCCCATTTACGGCTAATAAACACAACGAGAAAACTAATAACAACTTCATAATTTCAATAAAATTGTATTGAAATACAATAAAATTTATTTTTTATGTAATTTTTGCAGCTATTTATACATGAATACATGTACAGTACATTATGTGTATAGTTAATAGAAAAGTATTGCACCTGAGTTGGTTAACACAAATTATGATGATTAGCAGTGGATTCAACGCGGGTGGTTTTGATATGATTTAGACATACAGTAATAATTAGTTAATCATAAATTTATAATATTTTTTTAAAATGTTTACTCGTTAAAATGTAAATATATTAAAATATGTGAGATTTTAAATTTACCCAGCTAATTAAGTATATATTTTCAAAAATATATTTTGTAAATTAACTTTTAAAAAAGTTTTTGATTTAAATTATTTATAGTTATTATCTAATTAGACAATTTAGTTCTAAGAATTGAAATCATTAATTTATATAATATAGATAACAAATGCCCTATCAGATTTTGTAAAATTAACTATTATTATTACATTAAATAGAAATAAACTGACATCGTGTGTGATCAATTATAATATTATAAGTATTTTTAAATATGTTTTTAAAAATTAGTGGTCTGGGAAATAATCAATAATTTTATTATTCTAGCATAAATAAAGTTTCTTATATTAATAATTTTACACAAATACTAAAATAATAATTTATATTTTATACAGTACTAAATAAACTATATAAACTATAAGTTATTTTTAAAATTATTATATATAAATTAGTTTTATTCTTATTCATATGCCTGATTAAAATATTATTATTAAAATTAATGCCACATTAAATATAAATGATTAACATTTTTATATTAATAAGGTTGTAAAATTTCCATGGGGGTGGTGTTGAGAAAATTATTAACATAATCATTGTTATCAAATACTTCACGAAACAATTGTGTCCGATCACCCAGGTTCTGTTCAGCTATTTCTATGCTCACAGCCCTCGACAATAACCACATGTTTTTCAGCATTTCTGTCAATTTCACAAATTGTGAATTCACTTCGTAATGGGACCTATATTTTAACAATAAATAACGTTGCAATAAATGCACGTATACACTCTGCCCGTACCTATTTAAAGCAATAAACTTTATTCAGAAAGGTGATCTATTTTATAATTTTTTATATTTACTTAATTGACAATCATAACCACATGTTCGTCCATCAATGTTTCCAACTAAGGGCAGCCAAAAAATTCTGTCCAAGATCAATTTGTCAATTAATATATTATATTAGTTTAATTAGTATTGCGCACTTCTGGGGGTTACATCAGCTTTAGTATATATATTCGGAGCACCCTTATAGATAGAGGGTCCACCAGGTATATTTATTACTGTACCAGGGTAAAGGTTATTTGGATTGTCAGCCAGGTCATCGTAGTGAAATACAATGATATTCTCATCAGGTATACCGTGAGCGTGTATCATTTGATAAGCATGGTAAACATTTGCCTAGATTATAAAAAATTTTTAAATAAATTATATACAATGTTTTAATAACTATAGTTAAAAACTGTAATTAATTATCTGGATAAAAATAATCATTTAACAAATTTTATGCGATATTTATATTGGATCCTATATAAGAGCACTTATTTTTAAATATATAAAATTATAAATCATAATACTAATTATACTGGTCAAATTCCTACAGTTCCTAAATCGTTCACTAGATGTCAATACAATGTGACTGTACTGTCACTTCTCATTGAATAGAGTCCTTCTTGTTCCCAGGGCATAAATCATTTTACATTACATTAAGTTATAATTGTATGCATTTGTGTGGATTAACTTAAATATACACCGGATTGACTTTATTATGATCTGAATTAATTTAACTATTTACTGGATTAACTTAATTGTGTACTGAATTAACTTAATTATGCACTCGATTTTCTTTATTATGAACTGAATCAACATTATTGTGAATTGAATTAAATTA